AGAAAACGTCACATACTATAAAAGCACGATGCAATGGGACTTTTTTTTTTATGAGAAAACGGGATATATTGAGTGACGTTTGGGGAAAAAAATTAAGTTGCCCACGACCTGTTTTGTAATTCACCGTGCCCTCATAACTTCGACTTCGATCGTACTACAGTCAAATATTGATGACAGGTTCCACAAACGTTGAGGGGTATATTAAGTTTAAAAAAGTGCTATCTATATTCCATTTCGTTCTCGGGGAGGTTTATATATATACGTACTTGATCGTTTTCTCTTTTTCCCCTCTTTTTTTTTTGACTTCGTTTTTTCCCTGCTCTTAATCCTCGTGCGTGATAGCCATGTCGAGCACTTCGGCTCGTCCCTGACCCTTTGTCTCATTAGCGATGAAGTCAGACAAGGCCTTGTAGGCGCCCGGTTCGACGAAGCCGACGACCTCCCACTCCGAGCCCATGACATCCTGACTCTCGACCTGCTCGATATAGCTCAGAATCCTATCCTTGACCGTCCCCGGAGCAGTGGCCTTCTGGTCGGCGCCGTCCTTTTCTTTATCCTTTGCGGCATCCGGGGCAGCAGCCTTGACCGACTGCTTGAGCACGCCTGTCGAGCACGTGATGCGAAGCCTCATGCGAGCTCTGGCGACGGGGATGGGTTGGTTCGCGATGAGGGCCTTCATGGCCTCGAGGGCCTGACTCTTTGCACTCTTCGTAGTCGAGACTCCCTTCCAAACGGCGACTGGTCTGGTCTGCTTTGCTCCCTCGCCGTCGTCGTCGTTGTTGTTGTCTCCGGAAGCGGGTGTCGTCGTCGTCGTCGTCGTACCAGCCTGTGAAGCAGTGCCAGCTTGAGAGCTCAGCATGTCGAGTGCCTTCTCGATCATGCCAAAGGTATACACCCTCTTCGTCCGCGGGTCGACAAGCTTGCTGGCTACTATGCCCACCACCTCGTTGTGCACCCGGCTCGACTGCGCTGCCCTCTCCTTCTCGCCGACCTGCTGCTCGCCCTTCTTGAGGATCTCGAGCACGATCTCGTCTGTCGTCTTGTTCTTGCCGAAGGCCTTGTCGAGGTCCTCGCGCGGGGCGGTCTGACCCTTGGACACGTTGAGGAAGACGTTGGGGATCTGGAGAACGTTGTCCAGGTCCGTCTCGATACCCGACCGCCACTCTAGCACCTTGTTCTTGTAGCAGGCTACCTCGAAACGCTTCTTGCCCTTCTTCAGGCGGACCAGCGACACGTTTGTCAGCTTGATCTGGTTCGAGGGCTGGTTGATGCGCGACATGGTGGTGTGTCTTTTGCGCCGAAAACACGGGGGAAGGAGGGGTGTGAGGGAGAGGAAAGAAGGAAAGCAAGGCGTTGCTGGTAAGAAGAGTCAAGACAGCGTATACTGTATTGTATTTTCCTCTTCTGTCTAAGTAGTAGAGAAAGCCGGCCTGTGGTAAAGGAGAGGTGGTTTTTCTACGTTGAGGCAATGAATGACAGAGAAGATGTAATATCTGTTTTGTAAAGAAGCTGATGGCTCTTTTGTCCCAAATTTTTGTGACCCCGCCACCTAGGCGTCATCCCCCCCCACCTTTCGATATCCAGCAGCAGGCTATTTTACCGTAGTTTCATTACGTGTATTGGACCATAAAGAGTAGGAAGAGTAAAGGTCTGTATTATTTTGTTACTGCACTGTTTGCGTGCGCCTGAATATATAGTAGTACAAGTATCAAAGCAAGAAGAAGAAATACAAGGGAAAAAAAAGAACTGGAACCACATGATAAAAAGTGAAGGTACTGACTAGCCGTCACCTATTCTTTTCATGCTCGAAAGGGTCCAAAAAGTTCAAACTTGACGAAAGTGGGATTCGAACCCACGAACCCTTTCGGGATTTGGATTAAAAACTTAAGCCAAACGCCTTTGGACCACTCGGCCATTTCGTCATCACCAAATATTCGCTTGGCACCTTTTTATAACTTAAGATACCTCTTAAAGTTGCTGAAGGGGGTATACCTGGAATCTATGGTTTCAGGAGCAAGGTATATATATCTGCCATGGTGAATTAGGAAGCCTTCGGTAGACAATACCTGAATCATAGAACTGAAGGGCTGTCTTTTGATGGTGTGGTTACCTTGGTGGGGCGCACACACGCTCCCTCCCTCTCTCTCTTTTCCTACGTTTTCTGTGCCCCGCCTGCCAGGTGCAGTCTTGGAAAGGAACGCGCTGAGTCACAAAAATCGAAACCACCCCCCAAGACCCCGGATCTGCCATATCTTTTTAAATATATCGGTACCCCCTCCTCCGAGAAGGACAACTTGGCGTCGCAAACGCGCATCTCCCCTCACCTTGATCTTCCGCGTTGTTCTCATTGCCAACCAGGGAGAAATCCTCGCGCCATGGCCGACAACACTGCCCCTCCTCCCGCCGAGGCGAACCCCCCGCCATTGGACGCTGAGGAGAACGCTCAGGCTTCGTCGGGTCAGAATGTCAACCCCTGGTCCGTGTCGGGAGAGGTTGGAGAGGATGGAAAGGTCAAGGCCATTGACTACGGGAAGCTGACCAGCGAGTTTGGCACCACTCTCATCGACGATGCCCTGCTGGACCGCTTCGAGAAGGTCACCGGCCACAAGCCTCATCGGTTCATGCGCCGTCAGATCGTCTTCAGCCATCGTGATCTCTCCGTCATTCTCGACCGCTACGAAAAGGTGAGTCCTTCGACACCAGTTCCTTTCCCTTGGTCATGTTGTTTCTTCTACTGCTGTTTCTTTGCCCTTTTATTTTTTTTTTATTTTGTTACTGACCAGTCATGCTTTAGAACGAACCCTTCTTCCTCTACACGGGCCGTGGTCCTAGCAGTGACAGCATGCACGTTGGACACACCCAAGTCTTTGACTTTGTCAAGTCAGTCCTTTTTTTTTCTCTTTCTCTTCTCGTCTGTCATGCGATAGCTTCATCAGTATAGTGGCTGACATCATCACAGGTGGTTGCAGGATGTTCTCGATGTGCCCCTGATCATCATGCTGACGGATGGTAAGTCTCCCAGTCGCGTCGTATACCCGTTCATCGTGCACCGCTGACAGACAGACACGTAGATGAAAAGTACCTGTTTTCTGAGAAGCGAACCATTGAGGAGGTTCAGGGCTACACCAGGACCAACGCCATGGATATCATCGCCATCGGCTTTGACCCCAAGAAGACCTTCATCTTCTCCGACTTTGACTACGTCGGCGGTGCCTTTTACCGCAACATCGTACGGTTCGCCAAGCGCGTCACTTACAACACGGCCAAGGCCATCTTCGGATTCGACGGAAGGTATACACACCCATCCTTTTCTTCTCCTCTTGTCGATACTGTGTACCAAGGGTTCGTGACTGACAGCCGGAGTATAGTTCCAACATTGGCAAGATCCACTTTGCGAGCATCCAGGGTGCGACGGCCTTTGCCACATCGTTCCCCCACATCTTCGGTGCGGATGAGAAGCGCGTGGCCGAGATTCCTTGCCTCATCCCCTGCGCCATCGACCAGGACCCTTACTTCCGCCTCACTCGCGACTGTGCGGCCGGCCTCCACTACGCCAAGCCTGCTCTCATCCACATGCGCTTCCTCGATGCCCTCCAGGGCCCTGGCTCGAAGATGTCGGCCAGTGACGCTACGTCGGCCGTCTTCCTATCCGACTCGGCGAAGCAGGTCAAGACCAAGATCAACAAGTGAGCGCATCTCCCCCCTCCGAATCAGCGGCTCCGAATACTGACAGCCTGCAAAGGTATGCTTTCTCAGGTGGCAAGGAGACTGTGGAGGAGCACCGGGAGAAGGGCGGGGACCCAGATGTCGACGTTTCCTTCCAGTACCTGCAGTTCTTCATGGACGATGACGAGGTACGGAATATCATGACTTGTGCCCAACGGCGACGACCCGCACGGCTAACGAGGGAACAGGAACTGTCCAAGATCAGGGCGGGCTACAAGAGCGGAAAGCTCCTAACGGGTGAGCTCAAGGCCATCTGCATCAGGTACGTGCAGGACTACGTCACAGGGTTCCAGGAGAGGAGGTCCAAGGTGACGGAGGCGACGGTGAGCGAGTTCATGAGCGCGAGACCGCTCGAGTGGAAGGGCAACGCCAAGGTACCGCGGGCCGACCTGGTGGTGCCGGTGTCGAAGCAGGACGGCGCAGCCGAGGGCGCCAAGGGTGCAGAGGGTGAAGGCGAGGTGTCGAAGAACACGCTCAAGAAGCTGGCCAAGCAGCAGCAGATTGCGCAGAAGAAGGCAGAGAAGGAGGCGGCAAAGGCGGCCAAGGGTGCCGAGGTTTCGTAGAGATGAGAGCAGCGGAGGAGATGGATTCCGCTGAGATGGGCCATGTCTAAACATGTGGGTGAAAAGAAAAGGGAAGAAAAAAAAAGTATGCTGTGCCGACAAATCGCATTGAGACCTGATGATTGAATCACGCGCCGCCCCCCCCCCCCCCCCCCCCCCCCCCCCCCCCCCTCACTCTCCCGATCCCTCTCACACATGGTATCGGGCTCTGTCCTATGCTTCACACAATGACTAGGAACAAGCAAGGGCTGCTTGTCTCATGTATCACGACTCAGATCGTGGCCCTTTTTTTTTTTCTGTTCTTTTTTTTTTTTTGTCTCGGCTGGTGGTGGTGCATGGGCCAAGGGCGGAATTTTCCTGAGGCGTCTAGGGTAATACACGTAGTGTTACGAAGTCAGGAAGTGTGTGATGAGTATTAATACTAACTAATATTATTATATTAAAAAAAGGGGGGGGGGGGGGGGGGGGGGGGGGGGGGGGCATTATACCTCTCTACACATGGTGGACGAAGACGACAAAGGAAGATCAGACAATCAGAAAAAAAAAAAAGGGAAAAAAAGAAGAAAAAGAAGAGAATACCACGGGTACATCTACAGGCAAGGTAGCAATGAAGTCACTACACGTCCGATGATGGAAATAAGATTTGAACAAAGAAGAGCAAGGGCGAGGCCCTTCTATACTATCATGGCCATTGTCTGATGATGATGTCTCGGGTGTCTCAGGGATCAGCCGGCAAGGGTTGGTTAGGTGGATCGACCGATCTCCATGTGGGTTGCATCTACTCGTACTCATACTACCTGTAAAAAAAAAATCGCT